TCAGTTTTTCAACTGCATTTTGATGCTATTTGCACCGTTGGCGTTCTATTTTCTTCTTAATTTTCCAATTGTTTTTCTGAAGCGCATGTGGGCCTAGTACGCTTGCTAATTGCACCCCAGCTTCCCAGCCCATCCAGAATAACAACTAGGGCGCCTTTCTTTTCTCACCCCCATCCCCTTTAATTAATTTCTTTTATTTTTAATTCCATTTATATTTTCTTGCATATTAAAAAATCCATATAAAATAGGAAAATCAATATTTTTCACTTCTTGTTTTTTTCACATATTCATGATTTTGTCTAGAAAAATGTAAATAAATAAAATTCCATTTTATTTTTAGTTTAGTATTTTTAGCATATTATTCTTTTAAATAGCTTTTAAATAGGTTTAATATTGTACCTCATTTTGTAGAATTTCTTTTAGGACCTTCCCTTAGTCTTTTTAATTCATTCTTTTTGGCGTGATTAGATATTGAATCATAGTTCCCCATAGGATTTAATTCTTGATTTTTAGATTAAAATTTGATTAGCTTAATTAGGTTAGCATTAGGGTATCATAATTAGGGTTTAGGTTATGCATAAGTGAAGTAATTCATTTTCTGTGGAGAGTTTTGATTTGATTTTTGGGTATGGGTATATAGGGATGTTATGGGTAGATGTTGTAGACCCTTGTGAATAATTGGTAGAATTTTCCCTCTTGTTTTAGTATTTTTAGGTATTTTCTGAAGTTTTCTGATGGTTTTGACTGTTCTGTGGTTATCTGTTTATCTCTGGGGTTCATTTTGGGAATTTGTTGTGGGGCTTAGTTTGTTTTGAAGAACTTGTTGAAGGAGCATGGAGGAGAAGATTGTAGATCAAGACTCAGAGACCCAGAGCTTGGGGATTATTCCCTGTCTGTGAGGTTTGAGATCCTGAAGTTTGAGGGAAGTTCATGGTACTTTCCTGAGGAAGGCACTATGAATGACTTTCATTCTTTCTTCTCACCTCTTTCTTAAGTATCCAATGATGTTGGAGCCAACTTGTGAGTTTAATTTCTCCTGAGGAGGAACGTAAACTGATCACAGTTGTTGAGCCACATGGGATATGATTCCTAAGTGGAAGCCCCCTAATACCTTCCTGAGGACGGTCCTATGGGTCTATTCACTTAGTTCTCTTAGTTCATCTAGGATTTCTTAAGTATCCAATGATGTTGGAGCCAACTTGTGAGTTTAATTTCTCCTGAGGAGGAATATAAACTGATCACAGTTGTTGAGCCACATAGGATACAATTCCTAAGTGGAAGCCTCCTAGTACTTTCCTGAGGAAGGTCCTATGGGTCTATTCACTTAGTTCCACTAGTTCAGGTAGGATTTCCTAAATATCCAGTGATGTTGGAACCTTCATGTGAGTTTAGTTTCTCCTGAGGAGGAATGTAAACTGATCACAGTGGTTGAGCCACATAGGATATGATTCCTGAGTATAAGCCTCCTAGTGCTTTCCTGAGGAAGACACTATGAGTCTGCCTACTTAGCTCCCTTTCTTTGGTAAGCTTGTTTTGAAGCTTAAAGACTGGGATTGTTTTCTCTTGTGTAGGGTTTGCTTTAGGGCTTTGCTTTCTTCTGATTAGAGTTCTATTTTAGGGTTAGGATTAGAGATTAGATGTAGATTCTTTCTTTGTCAAGCATGTGTTTTGTTTGCCTGATGGCACTTCATTTCTTGTAGCTGTTTATTGCTTGATAGCATGATGTTTATATTTCAGTATGATTACTGTTATTTCATGACTGGCTTGAGGTCGAGACGAGCTTGTGGAGGCTGAAGCCCCACACACATTTCCTCCCTCACTTGCATTGCATGCATTTTACTGTTAAGCTGATGCTTTGTCTGTTTTGGTGTATCATTGACATGATCCCTTAGGACTCTCATTTCCTTTGATAAGGATTTGATGATAGACTTTTAGGTTGAAACCTATGCATGACAACTTCTAGGAGTTCCCTGTTCAAACCTCAACCATAGGATGAATCCATGGCATGATAACAGTAGGACTTGATAGTCTCCCTCCTTGTTGGGCCTGTTCTCTTCTCATCTCAAAGCAGTTTAAGATACAGTAATCATGAATGATTTCTTTCGTACGTTACGAGCCTTAAGCCATCTGAGGATGGATGTTTAGTATGGTACCCTTTGGGTGACATGCGACGCATTCACTCTCAGGTCATAGTCTCTAGTGCGGTTGAAATCGCAAACACAATAAAAAACACTTCTTTCAGGAGACAACCCGTAGTTTCCCGAACTACGTTTGCTCTGAACTTCCATACAGTGTGGAAGTACGTAGGCATAGGATGCGACGTCCTAGCGAGCAACCTTCAACCTTCCCCATCTTCCCCCGTAGTTAGCCGAACTACGTTGACTCTGATTTCTCATTCTCTGATGAGAATACGTAGGCATAAAGTGCGACGCTTTGCCGAGTCATTTTTCTTTTCTTTTTTTAGCCAGCCTTGATAGGTAGATAGAATATAACCAACCCGTCCAAGTAAACAAACAAGCGAGGATCCCGTCGAGTACGACGGACGTGAGGGGTGCTAATACCTTCCCCTTGCGTAACCGACTCCCGAACCCAGACAATGGTTGCGATGACCTTGTCTTACCCCTTTTTCGTCAGGTTTTTCCGATCGTTTCCTTTCCCGCTCTGAGGGATAAATAACGAAAGGTGGCGACTCTTCTGTCATGCCGGCACCTTATTTTCGCGCAAGCGACATATATGATATGAAATTTGTGCCCAACGTGTTGCTGGATTTTCTATTTCATAAATGGATAGAGAGGGATCATCATCCTCGTCTAGAGAGGGATCATCATCCTCTAAGTTTTTCTCCATTGATGTGTTTGATGACTTTTTGAATATAGTCATGTGAAATCTATGATAATCAATGTATGTGATATGAAATTTGTGCCCAACGTGTTGCTGGATTTTTTGTTTCATAAATGGATATGAATCTGAATGTTATGAACATCATTGTTGTGTATTTGGTTTTATGAACAAAGTCTTGAAGTCATGAAAAATTGGTGAATTAGGTGTCAATTAATGCATATGTAATGGTTCGATTATTATATAATATGTATCTATTATTTTTGTGGGATTTGAGATATTGGGTGTCAAAATCGGATCTTCAAATGAGCTTCCATGGTGAAAAGGTAGATTTTGGTTTCTACAGTAGCGTGAAGGTCATCACGAGCATGACGGATTGTCCATCATGCGTCTGAGACAGTTGACGGTCGTCAGCATGGTGATGGGGGGGACTTTCATGGTCTCCAGGCAAATTTCGTTGCTGGTTTGTGAGGAGAAGGGATGACTGGCTAGGTGACGGTCATCGCCTATGTGACGAGCTTGTCATCATGATTGTCGGAGATTGGTTTTGAGCGATCGATTTGGTTTACGATGTCGTTTTTGCGTACAGATGATGTTTAGCTGTTGTTTGAGGTGTTTTGTTGAGATTAATGGCAGAATGCAATGATATAACAAAATAAATAATATTTGAGTTAATTGTATGGTTATAAGTGGTGAATTATGATTATGTTTATTAGTTGTGATGTTGCGAATATAATTATGTGTTGTGAATGTAATTGTAGTCATTGTTTTAAGGTAAGTAGTTCATAAGTGGGGACTACTGTGAGTGTTGTATTGCATGTTTCTTATGGTTAGAAGTGGAATCATAAACATTGTTATTGTTGTTTCACTCCTTTGTATGTCATGCATCATTTTGTGTTAGTGGGTGAAAGAAGAAAATCATGGGTTCAGGAGTGGGGACCACTGATCGTCTGAAGTTCAGAAGTGGGGACTCGGTTTGAATGAGAAACCATTGTTGAGTGGACGAGATCAATAACAAACCTCTGTTGTCCAAATTGTTACGACATACATAAAGTCGAGTTGTGAGTCACACTGCATAAATAAATGCTATGTGAGTTGAATTGTTGTGCAAATTAAATGTATGTTGTTGATTGTGTAATTTAAGCTACCCTTACATTCTCTTACACCGTTAATATATTTGAGTGTATATTCACCCCTTTGTTGTTTGTTTTGTGTTGTTTTATACGATGTTGAGTGTAGACCACCTTGGGATAGGTTGATGACGAGCCATAACCTATCAACTGACTATACAGTTGCGTTTCTAGAACCTCCTCCTTATCACAAGACTATTTTGTACCTCGTTGTAGGAGATCTACGCCTTAGACACATCCAACGCTCCTCCATGTTCCACCTCTAAAAGATAACGAGCTCGTTATTTTTCCCCTCTATATATAAGGAATTATGTCATTTCAAGTAACAAATTTCGAATGCAATTTAAATACTCTCTATTCTTTCACATACTCACTTGAGCTTCAGAGTACTAACCTTGTAGATACACTCCCGCTTTATTGCATTAGAAGCTCTTCTCCGCTGCAACTTCAACATCTCTCTATTTCCGCTTCCCGAACTAAACAATATTTAAACCTACTTTTAAATTGTGAAATAACTATTAAGATCAATAAATAAAAAGAGAAAAACGATTAATATATTTAAACCTACTTTTAAATTGGAAAATAACTATTAGAATCACTTAACTTAATAAGTAAATAAAAAGTATTTTTAAGACAATTTTTTACAAATATCGGTTGACAAATTTATTGTTATCACTCACATCTTAAAATATCGTTTAATTTCAACTGATTCATGTATAATCATACATATGTGATTACTATAAAATAATGTTGTGATTATTATACAATAGTACTTTGGTTCCTGTTGCTAAAAGCCGACCAAATCCGGTTGCCGTTTATAGTATAATATCATATTATTAGGTCGATATAGTCATTATATACACAAATCTATATATACCCCAAATTGGATTGCACAATTCATATAAACAATAACACTTAGCATTTGCTAGCTAGTCATTCTTTATTCTAGAATTTTTTTTCTCATTACTGATTTCTTTACCCTAGTTAATAGAAAATAGAAAGGAAGAGATTTCAAACTCAAATTTAGATCAAATGGCTTCTTCTGGTGTAATCTTGATCTTTTCCATTTCCATGGTTTTGCTTTCCTCAGTTGCAATAGCTACTGATCATATTGTTGGTGATGATAAGGGTTGGACTGTTGATTTCAATTATACTCAATGGGCTCAAAACATTGTTTTTCGTGTTGGTGACAATCTTGGTATGTAAAACAAAACAAAAAATACTATTTTCATTTGGTTTAATGTTTATTTATATTATAATTATATATACTTAATTATATTTGATCTCTTTCTTTTCAGTTTTCAACTATAACCCTTCTTTCCACAATGTTTTCAAAGTGAATGGTACACTCTTTCAAAACTGTACTTTTCCGCCTGAAAATGAAGCACTTTCTACTGGAAAAGATATCATTCCATTGAAAACTGAAGGGAGAAAATGGTATGTTTGTGGAAAAGGTGATCATTGTGTTGCTCGTCAAATGAAGTTTGTTATCACTGTTCTATCAGAAGGTGCACCTGCTCCGTCTTCTCCTCCACCGTCTTCTACTGGTCACTATGTCGTATCATCTGTGTTTAGAGTTGTCATGACAGTCGTGGTTGCCATTGCAACCGTCTTTGTATGAAGAATTATATTGAGGGAAAGTTGAGCAACGGCGGAATTTAGAGACGGAATAGTGATTGATGCAAGAGTTTGTGTTAAATGTAGTATTGCCATATTTTTTTTGGATTTGTTGAATTAATGAATTATGTATGATGATTTATGTTAATGCTATTGTAATGTGAACCTAAATTTTATAACTTGTTGTATTCTTAGTAGTTCAAGATATTCTCGAAAGACATGGCAACTCCATTGTGAAATTCTTCTAAGCAAATTGAACAAGAAAGAGTTACGATGTCATCCACTTCAACTTTCTATAACGAATTTAAAGGTGTGGTAATAGATGCATTTTGATCATCAAATACATTCGTACCATCACTAATATTTGATGTCGTATCAAGAAATATATCCCTCTCATAAGAAGTAGAGTTCATATGTCTAGCATATGCACCCAGAAAAAGCAGAGTTTTTTCCAACACTTGAGGAGAAATTGTCATGCAAAAATATATTAGTTAAACTATCCGGATCCAATGATTCAAAGTCATCAATAAGAAAGAAATAGTGTTGGAAGGAAGTAAAGTTTAATGTAAAAACATTCTGGACAACAAAAATTTGGTGAGATTGTTTGGGTTGATTCTTCAACAAAGATGAGATATGATTCATTAGAGGAAGACATGAATAATATGAATAAGAGATATGAATTGTTTTTCGATTAGGTTAAAGAATTTTAAGAATGATATTTGCTTTTATAGAGAAATAGTTTCAAGAATCCAGCCAAGGCAAGAAAACATATTGAGTTGAAAATTAGTTTTTTTCTTTTTTTTCAAATAATATAACTTTAATTTTATGTGAGATTTATCTTTGAAGCGCATTTATTGTTAGAATATTATTTGCCAATAGAGTGAAACCTTTTTATAATAACTTTCTGATTGGTTTCTATATAAAAATAAAATAAAAAACTTTTCGATTTTATATTTTATATATATATATATATATATATATATATATATATATATATATATATATATATATATATATATATATATATATATATATATATATATATATATATATATATATATATATATATATATATATATATATATATATATATATATATATATATATATATATATCGGATTTTATTCAAATTTAAATTCAAAAAAAGATTCAGAGATAAAATTTTGATTGAAGAGATATTAAGGTGATACATTCTTTTATCTAGGAATAACATATCAAATTAAATTTGTTACAAAACATATGATAGGAAATGCTTTTGATACGAACTTCAAGAATCATTTGAGAATTTACAAAGATAAGTCATAGATGCTTTTAAGAGATTATCTTTAAACAAGAGAATCATCTCTCATTTGGAAGCTAAGATTGCTAAAATTGAAAGACATGTGGAAGTATTAAGGAAATCTATGTCAAATATTCTAGAAGGACAAGATGAGAGTCCTAGATGTTTGTGAAATTTTGGTTGTGAAATATGTCACATTTGAAAAGAGAAGTCAAGGACTCTTAAAGCTAAACTTGATAAGGCTTTCCAACTCAAGGTTACTTTTGCTATAGATACTTCCAAGTATGACTTACCAGCTCACAGTCCGTATCAAAGGTATAGTTGCATTAAAAAGGAACCAAATAGCAAAAGGTTATCTTTTCTAAACTTGTATTGTCACTACTGTTGCAAAAAAGGACACATTATTGCAAAGTTCAAAAGTTAGGAAACTCCATGTTCCTAATTATGTCTTTCAATGGATCCCTAAATGCAATCAAGCTTTTACTAATCCCTAAGGACCCAATGAAGATTGGGTACCTAGCACAAGTTATTAATCATGAAGGAAAAATGTCTTGACTCTATGGAGAGAGTATGGGATCTTGTTCGTAGAGCATCAAGGCACAACACAGTAACATGTCCTTATTGTTTTGATCTATGTGACTAACAAGGAGAATTATGTTACCAACCAGGTTAACTCTATGTATTTTTTTAAGTGATAAAGGTGTGAGAATGATTACTACTGATGTTTTATCCGAGAAATTTCGGAATAGGTGTTTCTTTTTATAATATAGGTATATATCTACAAGAAATTCTCAAAGAAACTGAAAAAGGAATTGATCAGCCTAACATGGTGGAACATGAGAAAGAAGAAGATAACAATTGTGAAAAGGAGAAGATTGAAAGTCCAACTGCATCGGACTATCTTCTTTTGACTTAGAAAATCTATAATCATCATCAAATCAATAATCTACATGGATACATCATTAATCACACTTTCAAATACTTGCACAAGAAGGAAAATGGTAAGAACGTTTTGAACTTATTTGTGTTTCGTAGCACGTGTTGCGTTCATTTCAAATTCCGTTCGAAAGTTCTTCGTGGAATGCTTGTTCATTCTTTGTCTTGTGTATGGTGAGGTAATATCGTTTCAACCCTATTTTTTGTTATGTACGTAAGTGTTTCTTTTACCTGTTTATTTCATAAGGATATATGATGAACTATGTGTGATGCTGGTGATATGTGCTTACTTATAATATATCAAATGTGACTGGTGTATGTTGAATTTTACATGTTTATAGTAACCATACGTAAATGTCATTATGATTCATTTGTATCTTGGACCAAGTCATGCTTGCATGATTATATGTTACATGATTAAAGCAAACAAATCATCAAACCTTATCATATACATGTGTCTTAAATCGAGGTAGTATGCATGAGTCTAATTCGAGTCATTAGTTGAGTCTAGATGTTCACTTGATTCTAATTCTTCAAATGATAAGCCTATTGATTGACACATAATCGAACAGGTCGACCTGTGTCATGTGAATTAAAATCTCTCTGCTGACTGGTTAAATATAGGTCGATCTGACCTAGTATAGGTCGACCTATGCAAATTAAAATTGCATATTTTCACAAAAACTAATAATATAGGTCGACACATGCTATCGTATAAGTCGGACTATAACAGTAAGTGGGCGAATATAGCGCATTTGACTAGAATTTTTCATATTCATGAAATGAATCTGAGTCCTTTGGTATTCAAATCCCAGTCAACCAATGTAACTCCTCTTTATGTCCTTAATTCATCACTAATGTCATTCATTTCATAACACTAAATCATTCAACTCTCCACATTCTTGTAACCATGAACCCTCTGAATTCCTTTTCTTTCTCTCATTTCTAATAAATTGGCATCACTTTCCATCTTGTCTCAAACATCTCAATTCTGTCAAAAACTTCTATCAATCCAAATGGCTCCTAAAATTGTGAGAAGGAAGAGTGATAAGGCTAACACATCATCGTCGTCATCCATTCTAGACACTGTGTTATCTCTAGTCTCTGACAACTATGTAGCAGAATTTGAAGATAAATTTCCGCATCACCTTGTCAGGAAACAACGTGTATGGAAGGCTTCTATTGTTGTAAGTTTGGAAATTACGATTGTGGCTCGACTCGTAGAACACCCACAAATTAACTATTTTTTGCAATTGTCCCAAGATTACAACAAGGATTTAGTTCGTGTATTATATTCTGAACTGCGTGAGCAGAATGGATCTTCTTTCAAATTCACTATTAGGGATAAGATTTATGAAGTCACCCATGATGTTTGGAAGCGATTATTTGACATTACCATGACTGATCCTGATGTAGAAGATGAAGTTGATCCTTTAGTAACAGACACTCATGCTCATAAGGATTTTGAGTGGAACATTCATCTCAACAAAATGCTCAAAGCCCCAAGACCAGAAGACTATAATGAGGTTGTAGCAGTCACAATGTCGTGTCATCTATGTTTGGAGTTGTCATGACAATTGTGGTTGCTATTGCAACCATCTTTGTATGAAGACTTATATTGAGGGAAAGTTGAGCAACGACGGAATAATGATTGATGCAAGAGTTTGTGTTAAATGTAGTATTGCCATATTTTTTTTGGATTTGTTGAATTAATGAATTATCTATGATGATTTATGTTAATGCTATTGTAATGTGAACCTAAATTTTATAACTTGTTGTATTCTTAGTAGTTCAAGATATTCTCCAAAGACATGGCAACTCCATTGTGAAATTCTTCTAAGCAAATTAAACAAGAAAGAGTTACGATATCATCCACTTCAACTTTCTCTAACGAATTCAAAGGTGTGGTAATAGATGCATTTTGATCATCAAATACATTCGTACCATCACTAATATTTGATTTCGTATCAAGAAATATATCCATCTCATAAGAAGTAGAGTTCATATGTCTAGCATATGCAACCAGAAAAAGAAGAGTTTTTTCCAACACTTGAGGGAGAAATTGTCATGCAAAAATACATTAGTTTAACTATCCGAATCCAATGATTCAAAGTCATCGTAATCACATAAGATGTTCCGAGGAATAAGAAAGAAATAGTGTTGGAAGGAAGTAAAGTTTAATGTAAAAACATTCTGGACAACAAAAATTTGGTGAGATTGTTTGGGTTGATTCTTCAACAAAGATGAGATATGATTCGTTAGAGGAAGACATGAATAATATGAATAAGAGATATGAATTGTTTTTCGATTAGGTTAAAGAATTTTAAGAATGGTGTTTAATTAAGAATGATATTTGCTTTTATAGAGAAATAGTTTCAAGAATCCAGTTTGGGCAAGAAAACATATTGGGTTGAAAATTAGTTTTTTCTTTTTTTCAAATAATATAACTTTAATTTTATGTGAGATTTATCTTTGAAGCGCATTTATTGTTAGAATATTATTTAGCAACAGAGTGAAACCTTTTTATAATAACTTTCTATTTGGTTTATATATAAAAAATTATTTAAAAAAAACTTTTCGATTTTATATTTTGTAATATATATATATATAAATTGGATTTTATTCAAATTTAAATTCAAAAAAAGATTGAGAGATAAAATTTTGATTGAAGAGATATTTAAGGTAATACATTCTTTTATCTAGGAATAACATATCAAATTAAATTTGTTACAAAACATATGATAGGAAATGCTTTTGATACAAACTTCAAGAATCATTTGAGAATTTAC